AACAGGCAGGCTGTCGGGCAGTGCAGTGTGCGCGAAGTTCCTAAATAAAGCTTTAATTTTTTATCGTGCACTATGTCTTGTTAATATTATATTAATGCAGTAAGAACATAATCTGTGATATGGAATTCGAGGATTGGTGGTGGTAAAACATAACAGGAAATCACCATAATGGTAACCCGGACTGTGTAAATCGTATGAACAGTTCTCAAGCACTTTCGGTTTTGACTACAAGCCATCACTCAAGATCTCCAAACCAGAAGTAATGGATTACATCGGTTTTCATCCTCCGAATCACAGATGAGTAGCAATTATAGATTATTTTATAATTCTGATTTCTACTTATCATTTAATTTCATTTTCTTAGTTAAATTTTTGCTTTTATTTTTGGCTTAAAAACCTTGCACAATGTCTGATGTTCATGCCGTCCTAAATTGCGGTTTATAACCAATCAGACCCATCTTTATGGTTTATTATGTGTCAAAGTACCTTTGCTCTTGCCACCCCCAAACCTATCACAGAATCCATTACTAAATATAATTATGTAGTTTCTCATCTTCCTCCAGATATCGCATCACTAGTACGGGATTTACTTATGAAACCAGACCCTATTGATCCATATGCAAAGCTTAAAACTGAGTTAATAATCGTTCAGGAGAATCTTCTCAGCAAGAAATTCGCCAATTATTATCTGGAGAAGAATTAGGTTCTCGAAAAACCTTCCGATTTGCTTAGAAATATGAAACGTCGAGCAGAAATCTTTAAATGTTCCTGATAACTTAATGTTAGAATTATTCCTTCAACGTTTGCCTTCGACTGTTCAGTCTATTTTGGCAGCGGTTTCCAATTTAACTGTAGACAAAGCTGCAGAAATTGCCGACAGAATTTTAGAAGTAAATCCAACCCCAGGGACTTGTGCCGTTTCTCGCACAGTCGATCAGTCTCTTGAGGATAAATTATTTAAACAAATAGGAAAATTAAACGTATTGATCGCATTTCTCTTTCTCGTGGTCGCTCGCCAAACCGCGGAGATCGCAATAGAGAAAGAAGCAATTCCAAAAGGAGAGATTATTCTGTTTGCTGGTATCATAGACGTTTTGGGAAAAAGTGTAGAGATGACAAATGTACAAAACCTTGTTCATGGCAGGGAAACGAAACCAGCAAAGAATAGAGGTGACTTATTCTTTGCCTCAAGTTTCACGTCGCCTGTTCGTTCGTGGGACCGTTAGAAAACCTTTCATTCTGGTCGATACCGGCTCTGATGTGTCTTACTTCCTGCAAATAATCTCAAAAACGGAATTCGTCCCAACAAACACTTTTCGCTGCTAATTCTTCTACTATTCATGTTTATGGTCAAAAAACACTTTCTTTGGATTTCAAATTAAGACGACAGTTTACATGGACTTTTCTTATAGCAAATGTTAGTACACACCCATTCTTGGAGCAGATTTCTCCATTTCTTTGAATTGGTGCCTGATTCAGAAACAAATGTCTCAAAGATTTAAAAACGCATTTTTAAAACCGTCGGTTGCGTGAAAAATGCAAGCATTTATTCAGTAAAAACTGTATTAGTGATACACCATATCACAAAATTTAAAAGAATTTCCTTCAGTTACTAGATTACCAGACCAGATCCTAACCAACCTGTTAAACATAACACCGTTCATTATATCATAACTAAAGGGTCCCACCTGTGGTTGCAAAACCTTGTCGGTAGCTCCAGATCGCTTAAAAATAGCAAAACAAAAATTTCAAACTATGATGCAATTGGGGCATTTGAGACCTTCAAGCAGCAATTATGCATCCCACTTCACATGGTTCCAAAAAAGGGAAGTCTGGAATGGAGACCTGTAGGAGATTATCGAGCATTGAACGCTCAAACGATAAAAAGACAAATACCCTATTCATGCTTAGCCGATTTTACTGCTGCATTGCACGGTACTAAAAATTTTTAGTCATGTCGACCTGATTAAGGCATACCATCAAATACCAATTAACCCAGCCGACATCCACAAAACCGCCAATGCATACCATTCGGTTATTCGAAAGTATCCGTATGCAATTCGGCTTATGCAATGCATCTGCGACTTTTCAACGTTTTATGGATGAAGTCAGCGGGATTTAGAAGGCGTTACGCTTTTGTCGATGACTTGCTCATAGCCTCTAAAGATTCTGAGGGAAACATTGCAGGCATTGAAAGCTTTATTTTCCAAACTTCAGGAATATGGACTTTGCATAAATGTTTCAAAATGCACCTTTGGTCAAACATCTATTGATTTCTTAGGTTTCACCTTAGTGAAAACGGAATTGAACCTCTTCCTGACAAAGTCAAATGTATTTTAGATTTTCCTCAAACCTACCACTCTCACTCAGCTTCGCCGATTTTTAGGCATTTTAACTTTTTAGATGTTTCATACCTAAAGCAGCACATATTCTTTCTCCTTTAATAAAATTGTTAGAAGGCTATATTAATAAAAAGAATCTCGTTCTCGTGTTCAGGATTCATCCCCACAATTAAATTGGAACGAGAATGCTGAACAAGCCTTTATTGCTGCCAAAAATGCCATTGCTCAGGCTACCCTTTGAGACACCCTATTCCCGGAGCCCAGCTAAGCATCTGGGTAGATGCCTCAGACGTCGCAATCGGCGGCACACTTATGCAGTTGTCTCAACAAACATGGGAACCTATAGCATTTTTCTCTATGAAACTCAAGTAAAAGTCAACAGAAATGGTAATCGCGTACAATAGGGAATTATTTTCAATTTATTCTGAAATTAAGAAATTCCGACACATGTTAGAGGGCAGAAATTTATAATTTATACGGATCAAAAACCGTTAATATACGCTTTTAAACAGAACCCTCATAAATGTTCACCTCGACAATTGCGCCATTTAGATTTTATTTCTCAGTACTCTACTGATATTAGGCATGTGCAAGGTTCAAAAAAACGTTCGTTGCTGACGCTCTTTCAAGAATCGAAATTGATCCATAACAAAATCTCCATTTTTGGATTTAAAAAATTTTCGGAAGCTCAAAGGCATGATCCGGAGGTACAAGACCTTCTCAAAAACAACACATCATCTTTGAAACTGGAATTTAAACCGTGCCAATATTCTGATGGTAATATTCTTTGTGACATATCAACAGACATTCCTCGTCCATTTGTCCGAATTCCTTTCGCAGACTCATCTTTAATCATCTGCATAATCTGTCACATCCAGGAATTGCAGCTACTACGAAGCTTATTTGTTCTCGTTATGTATGGACCCTATATGAAACGTCATATCAAAAAATTGGGGTGAAATCCTGTGAATCTTGCCAAAAATCGAAAAATTACTAGGCATACTAAAGCACCACTGGGCACATCTCTCTTTCCTGATGCACGTTTTTCAGAAATCCATATGGATATCGTCGGACCGTTACCTCCATCAGAAGGCAATGTGTACCTTTTGACTCTAATAGATAGATTCTCCAGATGGCCTGAAGCCATTCCCATCCCGGATATGAAAACGGAAACCATTTGCAGAGCCATCTTCAACTGTTGGATATCTCGTTTTGGCTGCCCATCGATCATAACAACAGACCAAGGTTCTCAAATGAGATCCGCACTTTTTGCAGAATTCACGCGCATTTTGGGTACGAACAGAATCACAACAACAGCCTATCATCCAATGTCAAACGGCATTGTTGAATGATTTCATCGACATTTAAAATCTTCTCTCAAGGCTCACGAGACCAATAACTGGACTACCAGCTGTTATGCTTGGTATTCGGACAGCCGTAAAGGAAGATCTACAGTCATCTTGTGCTGAACTGGTGTACGGCACAACTCTCAAGCTGCCTAGTGATATGATAACGTCATCTAAGATATCTCCGTATGACACACAATTTATCACGAATCTTAGGCATAGAATGCAACAATTGAATCCAATAGCAACATCTGCACATTGCCAAGAAAAATGTTACGTAAAGTGCTATCTTAAAGTCGTGTACGCATGTATACTTATGTGTCGATCGAGTAAAGCCCACCTCTGTGCCAACCATACACAGGTCCACATAAAGTTCCTTTCTAGAATGGACAAAACTTTCACAATTCATATTAACGGTCTGAAATTTACTGTGTCTACAGACCGTGTGAAATCAGCTTATTTGCTTTTCGGACTCTAATTTGCCTGAACTGAAAACAAATAAAGACTTAAAGACAGTTCAGAATAAATCTGCAAACGAACTCTCTAAGACACAAACTGTCACCAGAACGGGAAAGAATGTTCACTTCCCTAAGAAACTTGCATCTTACATAACAATTTAAAACCTTTTCTTTTAAAATTCATATCTTAACAAATTTTTTGTTATTTCATATGTTTATTATATGTGTCAATTACCTTGTTATATATTGAATTTGCATTTTGATCTTTTCTAATTTTATATTCTAATTTTGTAATCATGAAAAAAAAAAAATACCCGACAGTACGGATACTCTGAGATAATTTCATAACCTGATGTCGTTCCTTTGAATAGCCATTAAAGGAACTGGGGGGAAACTGTGTGGTGATGGCGATAAGGAGCGCGCCTTGCGCCCTCCGATAAGTGTGGCAACCCTAGAAGGAGAAGTTTCTAATGAGTAGCGAGCAGAGCGAAACAGGCAGGCTGTCGGGGCAGTGTGCGCGAAGTTCCTAAATAAAGCTTAATTTTTATTGTGCACTATGTCTTGTTAATATTATATTAATGCAGTAAGAACATAATCTGTGATATGGAATTTGAGGATTGGTGGTAAAACATAACAGGAAATCACCATAGATGTAGAAAGTTGAATGAATTATCTTAACTAGGGATATTTATGGGTGAAATGAATGTTATATGAGTGTTTTCTCCTAAAATATTTATTGAGAATGTTTTAATGCAAAAAAAAAAAAATCATTGGTTTTTCTTTAAATTTTAATTAAGGGCAATTCATTTTAAAATTTGAGATTTCACAGGGTCTTATAATGTCTCTCTTTTCAGTGTCGTATTCTCTCAATCATTACTAACACTTGATATGGTTGAAGTGATTCTGCAGTATCTTGATCAGCAGACTCCATCAGATCTTGATATGCAGCGAGACGCCATTGGGTCATGGATTTCTGGAGTAGACTATTTCCGAATGGATGGTTCAACTTCTGCTGACTTCAGAAAAAGTTTTATAGATAAGTTTAATGACAGAAATAATGAAAGGTAGATTTTTCAATTATTGGGTTTTGAATTTATGTTACAATCTCTTTGTAAGTTAATGGCAATGTTAATTAAAAGCAGTGGTGCCCAACGTTTAACTTGATATGAGCGAATTTAGAATTAATAAAATTTTGGCAAATCTCAATTATAAATTGTACTTTTAACGTTTCAGTTATAAATGTATATAATGCACAAACAATAAAAATATGCAATGTAATATATTAAAGGAAAAGTGTAATTATGTACTCTTTATTACTATTTGTAAAAAATTCAATAGAATGCTAAATAAATACAGGGAAATCATATTTGTTATGCGAAATTTGGCACAACATGTTTCTGCAATTGTACTGTACATACAGTGTTATGCCTAAATTCATGCCATCATTCAGATGATAGTTTGTTGTCCTGGATCTGAACTTTGATTTGAGAAGTTCGTTGTTGAAAAACAATTTTTTCAAAGGTAAGTTGATTCAAAGTAGGAGTTTAACCTTTGAAAATTTCTTGTACAAATATTTTTTTCATCTACGAGTATCCAAAAATCTGTGAGTGACATTCTTGTTAATTGTAGATCCAACAAAAAATCAATTATTTGCATGTGTGTGACATTCTTGTTTTTAATTGTAGATTCAACTGAAAGTAAATTATTTGCATATCTAGATCAGAAGAATTTTTATTTAACACATTTGCAATTTGCTTTTTTTTTTTTTTTTTTTCTTTTTTTTTTTTTTTTTTTTTTTTTTTTTTTTTTTTTTTTTTTTTTGTTTTTTTTTTTTTTTTTTTTGTTTTTTTTTTTTTTTTTTTTTTTTTTTTTTTTTTGTTTTTTTTTTTTTTTTTTTTTTTTTTTTTTTTTTTTTTTTTTTTTTTTTTTTTTTTTTTTTTTTTTTTTTTGCAATATTTTGGAAATATTAGTATCAACAAATGAGTTTGAAATGAATGAAGCATTGGATTGAATTTTATAAAAATTAGAAAATTTAATTCCGATTTTTTTTTTTTTTTTTTTTTTTAAGCTCGGTGTGTCTTTTGGAATATTGAATTGTTTCAATTTTCATTTATTTTAATTCTCCAGATTTGTAAAGTGGCAAAAGTTACTGTTCTTTTATTTGAGATATTCACAAATTTAATTTTGATTTAAATGCATTTGTATTTCATATCAACTCAATAAGAGTTTTCTCTTTACCTTGAAGTTCAAGATTAAGTTTATTCATTTTGGTTACTATAAGAATGTCTTCAAGTCATCATGGTTATTATGTCTCCTAGAAAGGTTAGATATCTGACTATGATCATTAAGTTCTCCATAAATTTTGTTTCTGGATTCTAAAAACTCTTTTATAACTGGAAGAAGCTTTGGAAATCATTGTAGGACTTTTCTTTTATTAAAGGTTAGGTTATTTAAATACTGCAAAGCCTCGAGAGCTATCTGCCTAAGGGAAGGGATGCCTTCATGGAGGACTTTCTAAGGGAAACTGGCTGGTATACACGTTACACATGGGGAAAACCATGAAAACACCCATGCAGCCAACCCGTTCGCGGGATTCGAACCCTCAGACCGAACTACCAGTGTTCAGCGACTTTAGTGCTCGGCCGCTGGTGGGCCTCTTTTACTAAAGGATTGTGAAATTAAGGTTCGATAGTCAGCATCTAGTTTGTCAGTTGATACTTTGAACAATCTATTCTGAAGTGCTCTAGCACAAATAAAACTGACAATTTTTAGAACAACTTTTATCACATATTCATAATATAAAAGTTTTGTACATAATGCATGCTGATGTATTATGCAGTAGTAGTTAAAAACGCTTGGAGTCATCATCACTCTTGTATGATGTTCATGAAACCAATAACAGTAGCAAAGTAGCAAACCAATAACAGTAGTCAAAGAAGATGTGCTGTCTGCTGTTATGTGAACACAAGTACTTTAAACGGAAGATAATTTTAATAATGTGGTACACATCCGCTGTGTGTGGCAAAACTGGCAGTACATCTTCCTTCACTGAGCAATCATTGAAGGCTATTTACTTTAGCTACATTGCAGTTATTTGTTGATTCATCACACTGTAAACTTAATGCATTTTTGTAATTCATCTTTTACTTGTCTTTAGGTATTTTCAGACAGAGCTTCTTTCTCAGTGTGACAGAATTTCTAGATATTGAACATGTTGGATAGCTGACATAATATCATTCTTATTTTTATCTTTTTAGAATAAAATCTGTGATGCAGCAAGCATTGCTTCTTTAATTATTTGCCATCCTGAAGTTGTTGTTTTAAAGTCTAAAGGGGCTTTGTCCTGTTTTCGCTTTGCGATTTTGTGTCAAATCACTCTGAATATACGTTTCACTTTTCAAACTGTTGCCACCAAATGTTATCGCCCTGTATTACATTTTAAGAAATTAAATAATGAAGAATCTGCATAAATGTATGTATTTTTCTCACATTGTGATAAAACAACGGTACCTAGAGCCATCCAATTTTGAATTATGTAATCCTACTGCGAATATGGCATCTGGAAGCCCAGATTTGAAGTTTGGGATTTGTTTTATTATCATTTTCATATTTTGTAAAACTTTAACAATTTTTTTATGAACAAACTCAAGGATTTCAAAGCAAGCGATGGCAATGTTGTACAGAAGAAACATTTTTATCTCCAGTGCATGATACTGTGTATTGGAAATTCTAAAGATACGCTCAATTTTAAATTCTTTTCAGAATTCTTAGCGGTCCTTATAAATGCTTGTAAGTCCTTATATTTGAAAATAAAATATAAAGGCCCTTATAGGTACTTACGTTTTCTTTAAAGCCCTTATTGTTTGTTTTTAGTGCTTATTTTTTTGCTTTTAGTGCTTTTTTTTTTTTTTTTTTTATTTTTTTTTTTTTTTTTTTTTTATGATCGCGCTATTTTTCCTGGTGCCAAAGCCGAAACTAAATAAACAACTTTTCTTCTTAATATGAAATGTCACATGGTGAATCGTACTCCCGGAAATAGCTTTTCCCCCTTTCTCTGCATTAACATAACCTTTGGTATGCACGAAGAGTACAGATAGGTGCCCGTCGTTCTATTGGTCAAAGAAATCCGAAAGCAGTAGAAAATTCCGGTACATTCGGCAATCTTTTCCTCCCACCCAAATACTACACACGTTTGAATTTCTATCAAGATCTTAATAATTTGCATTCTCGTTCCGCTTGGTCAGTTCATATTCGTGTTATGATCATTATGCTTATATTATGAGCATATGTATGAATGTTTATAATAACATAGTTGCAATAACTGCTGGAGTATAGTAAACTTCCAAAAATGGTTGTGTTATAACACAGATTATCTTTCTAAGGAATAATATTCGGAATGGTTTAAATAAAGGGAAGGATAAGCAATCGAATAGTAATTTTTTTTTTTTTTTTTTTTTTTTTTGGCCAATGCATTATACAGTACGAAGATTGGGAGGTTCTCCCCTTTCTCCGCAAAATCTCGAATATAACTGTAACATTTTCAAAACTGTTACAGTTCGCTGCAAAACAAGCAATGGACCTCTTTTTTTTTTTTTTTTTTTTTTTTGGTGTGTGTGTGGTGTGTGTGTGTGTCACTCTCCGATTTGGTTTGAATAGGACTAAAAGTTCTGCAGTCAACCAACCCAATTTTCCGAAAAATGATTCTGTTCGGGAAATTTAACGCCGTCTGTTGAAAATTAGAATGAAAAACACCCTAGTTATTTAGTTCTTTATTCTCCCAATACCGGCAGCTGTTGATTCCGATTGCATAATATCACATAGGGAAGAATTACGGCACACGTATTGCGCAATAACGTTTGCGATATTTTGCAGAGATAATTAATTTTGATGTTCAGTCCGAGATTTGTTTATGAACACTTAAAAGAGTTTTACTGTGCTTGCTAAGCAGAATATTTTTCAGTTCCATTGGGTTTTTTTTTTTTTTTTTTTTTTTTTTTTATGATGCACATGTCGAAATGTCAAAAGCATTTATTTAGCGGGAAAATCTAAAGAGCGGCTACAGTCTACCCACTCCTCTTTTTCAAGTTACGCTCGACTGTCCGAATATTCGCCAATTTCCAAGTATGTGGATTAGTTAATCTTTTACTGTTAAAGGATGACTGCATGAAGCAAATTTCTGTCTTCTGATTTCAGAAATGTTCCTTTTTTTTACTTAAATTACTTTGCTTGCAATATCTGTTAAGGGAAAACTGATATACAATGAAAATTTAGAAAATGTTCAGAATTTAGATTTAAATTATTTAAATATCATTATGAGGGGGGAAATAAATTGTATTTATTATTAGGTTTCAAGCGAATACAATAAATATGCCTAATTATTATTTATTTTCTCTATTTTGAAATGAAATTTCATCCTTAAATTTTGTAATATAATTTAGTTCTGCATAGTTTTTTTTTTTCTCTCATTGTAAGCTAGTTCTGTAAATTGAACTGTTATTTAAAATTTTAAAAAATAGTCATTATTTTCCATGTTTGAGGTAATGCTTATTCTCTCTTAATAAATACTGCATATCTCATATTTTAAATTACAATTCTAATTTTTAAGGTTATGCAGTTGTATATAATATAATTAGGCAGGTGCTTTATTTATTTTTTTTTTTTCTTAAAATGTGCTTGAAAAGTGCTTATAGGTGCTTATTTTTTTAATTAAAATGTGGCTATGAACTCTGTCTTTTGCTCTTAAACTAAATTTTATGGTTTAAATGCGAAGAACATAATATTTAATAAATAAAGGTAACACACAAAATGTTTAAAAAATAGCCTCTTTGGAGGCAATTTAAAATCTGAAACCTTTCAGATTTTTTTTTAATTGCATGTATATGTGCAACTTTTAAATGATGCAATCTTATCAATCTTCATTTTATTTGCACTATTTGTTTATATTGATTGCTGTCAATAAATGTGGTTTCCAATTTACTGACATTTTCTTAGACTGCTGGTAGAGAGGTAGTCAGTTCAATCATTCGTTCTTAAATTAATGAAAAAGTATTTCTGTTCCTGTACA